CTGGTCAATCTAAAGACTACTAAAACCCCCACCCTCACCTAGAATATCCTCCAACTTATCTCTATCCCAACACCCCCCGACCAAAGGTCCTTCACCTGCATGAAAAGCAGATGTGTAACCGGCCTAGAGCTCAAAAGTGGGGCCTCGCCGAACCACCACTCATCCCCGAAACTAACCTCCCCAGAGCTCAAGGTCCAAAAAATGTGCTTCTGAGCACGCCTACCAACATTGGTGAGCCGTCTCCACTGTCGACTGTCACGAGCAGTGGCCGTCACCCTGAAAGGGTGGGCAGCTCCACCAGGGCAATACTTTCGAATGAGGTATTGGGCCCAAAGAGACTTGCCCTCCCTAAAGTGCCACCACATCCTATAGGAAAAAGCAGTTACAATATCTGTGAAACGCCGAATCCCAAGACTGCCCTCAGAGAAGGGACAACAAACGGAGTCCCACTTCACCCAGTGGGTTTGCCGCTGTCCCCGCGAGCCCTCGCCATGGCTCCAAAAATAGCAGGCTAAAATCTGATCTAACTCGTGAATCATAGACTGATATGGGTCAAGTACCACGAGAAGATGAAGGGGCAGGGCACAAAGAGTGATCTTGATCAGAGCAAGTCGACCCCCAAAGGATAGGTGTCTATGCGACCAACCGAAAATCCGGTCAATCATCCTCTGACGGACGTCAATGAAAAGCTCATGAGAGAGATGGCCCTTGTACAGGGGAGCCCAAAGATAAGGGATGGGTAAGTCACCACGAGCAAATCAGTGCGCTCGTGGATCCGATGAGCCCACTGATCAACAATGTGTTGATCCATGACAAAAGTGCTCTTGCTAACACTGACAAGCTGACTAGAGGTCTCACTATAGTGGTCCAAAAGACTCATGACATCAGCTAGCCCATTATCATTCGCACTAGTGAAAATGATAATGTCATCCGCATAAGAAAGGTGGCATATGGGAGTCCCACAGCCCCGGGTGCTGTAGGTCATCCTCGAAAAGTCGCGAATGAAGCCGTCAAGACAGCGAGAGAGGTAGTCAGCCACCAAGACAAAGAGGGTGGGGGATAAGGGATCCCCCTGACGCAGGCCACGGGAAGAGGGGAGAAAAATCGTGGCACTACCATTAATCAAAGCAGAGAACGTGCAGTGTTCCACACACGCCTCTACAAAGATAATACAGCAGGTGGGGAATCCCATCCGAAACAGTACCTCCCTGAGAAACGACCACTCGACCCTATCATATGCCTTGGCCATGTCTAACTTCAGCACGAGGTTCGAGGTTCGTGTTCGATTCGCATAAGAGATATTGTGAATCATCTCCTGAACCAAAAGGATATTATCACTAATGACTCGATCTTTGATGAATCCACTCTGGTTCGGAGAGACAAGGTAGGGGAG